GACCTGTCTTTTCTTGGCGGGAGTCACAGTTTGTGGCCCCGATGCTTCATGTGGGGTTGATTTCGGAGTTGACATACCATAGGGGCCTAAATAGTCACCGATACTATTTGGGGGGTTAGTTCTGACATAATGTACCCCAAAACCCTGTTCTAATTGTTAAGGCCCCTACATTACTGGTGGAGAGCCTGTCCGTAGTCTGAACACTCGGGTCTCAGGGGGTCACGGTGAAGGGAGGGGTGTCGCGGGACAGGGTCGCGGGTGGCAAGCTCTCGGAGTTCAGGTTAAGGGTTTGGGGATATGGGAGTTTCCCGAAAATTAGGGGTACCTTATTCTGGGGTCCTTATAATAGGGATCCTACTATTTAGGGTGCTATATTTGGGTCCCCTATTTTAGGAAACCCCCATATAGTGTCATGATTCAGGGTTTAGGGTTATAGCGTCATCAGCACAACAGCTTGACTACTCCATCAGAGCGGCTTTGGTATCGGTGCTGCGGTTGTCGGCCTCGGTCAAGATGATTGCAAGGGCGTAGTCTGGCTAGGCTTGAGTCCAGTAGCAAAAGGGTATATAGGGTTCAGGTGTACTTCCTAAACCCTAAACCCCAAACCCCAAACTCTAAAACCCAAAGCCCTAAACCCCTAAACCCTAAACCCCAAACTCTGCACTGCCAGACTCTGGGATTCCCGGTGTGCTCCCGTTGCTGACACCTCGGCCGGGTTGCGAATCTAAGGACACTCCCCCAAACCTGCCCAGCCGGGCAGTGTCTGCGCGAAGAGGCTGCGGGTCTTGAGAGGTTTGCATGTCGCTTTCAGGTACATTGCATTTAGGGCTAGGGTCTTAAAAGCCGTTCATAAGGATTTCGGGTTTTCAGTTTGTGTGCCAGGATTTGGGGTTTACCGGAGATCTTCTGCCAGCTAGATGGAGCCATGCGCTTTTCAACACTTTACAAGCAAAAGGCCTCAGAGCGGAGGAGAAGACCCGACATTCGAAGGCATACCACTTGAACCAAGACAGAATGGAAATGCTTCCATTCAATGGATGGCCTGTTCACTGGCATTATACTTTCCCCGAGTGCAGAGATGAATGCAAGCATGTGCCTTGAAGAAAGGCATGCGCGTGAACATTCCTAGTGCCAAACACTCGAACCTAAATCTCAGAGGTGAGCACTATTTTCTGCACTCTCTAACCTTTCGTAAAATGCCCTGAACCGTAAAGTTAGTGGATCACGGTTCGAAGATCTTCGGGAGGAGGCATCAAGCAAAGTCGGTTGATCAACGTGCCTGCCTTTTGCTGGTAATATATCAACCCAAAGAACTGCTCATAGTGCTATTCCTTGATTCTTCTGACGGTTATAGTGTAATATACTGTAGTACAACGACCACCAAAGCCCTATAGATTCTCATTCTTAAAGCTCCCATCTTACTGCCGTTTCGCCGTTGCTAGAGCGGTCCACATGGAACTAGTGACGATGTTATGTCCGCTGCTCGTGTTCATCACTTCGTCAGTCTCTCAAACCCCCCAAACCCTAGACCTGAATCCCTAAAAAACCCTAAAGTCCCGACACCCGAAACCTTGTAGCCCCCAATATCGTGGAGATTTCGACTGTCAGGCTGCCGACGATAAACGAGCCGCTCTGGGGTTCGTCCAGACATCCTTGTGCCTTGACTTTTTATGGCGTCCCTTGTAGGGTCCTCTTCCTACTCTGATTCGATCACCAGACAAACATACAGTGACGCTCATGATGCTGGCACAGCTAGTGCCCTTAGTAGCAACGATCATGTCAATGCCAATGCTCAGGGGTAAGGATTTCAACACCGCAACCCGCGAGGCCATAGTTTCAGGATTGCGTTTAGCACCCATAGCAACTCCTGAAACGGTGAATTACGATTCTACCCGTCAGAAGCATCACACCCTGCAAAAATTTCACGACTGACAGTTGAAAGCTTCACCCGGTCTGCCAAGCTGTGAGGATCGAAGGTGTTTTCCTACGCCGTAGAGTGTTTAATAGTTCGAGCATATTTCAACAGTTGATTAATTACCATATCATATAACCCCAAGACCCTCTTCGGATGATTACGGTGCCTGTGTTCGCCCAAAGTCCCATGCAAGGCATTGGAAGCTGCGCGAGCAACGAGTAGCTGCTTGGCTTTGGATTGCCACCCACTACCCGAACTGTAAACCGTGCTAGGGTACACTACGAAACTTTAACCTAAACCCTAAACCCTAAACCCTAAACCCTAAACCCTAAACCCTTAGCATCAGATAGCCCAGAAGCCTTTTATAATAGGGTCGTTGGGCCCCAAAGCCTTAAC